CCTTCCCTCCTCTCCCTCTCCTCCCTCCCACCCACCGCCCCCGCACCTGCAATACCCCCGACTTCCTATCATCATCGTCCGGTGTCCACGACCGGGCGATTCACTGCTCTCCTCTAGGACTTTGGCTTTCGACTGAATGTCACCTGCTGTCGTCTGCCTCGTGCTTCTCCGCGGACTTCTTTGCCCTTCTTGTAGAGGAGGAGGAGGAGGAGGAGGAGGACAATGCAGCGGCTTGCGCACGGGACAATGCAGGCCTGCTGCGCTGCTGCGCGCGGCATTCGTGTTGTGTCCGGGGCAGGAAGGAAGAAGAGAGTTCGCGGGAGGCACAGGTAAGCACGGTGAGTAGTACAGCACAGTACAGTCCCAGCAGGTGACCGGGCCGAGCCGAGCCGAGCCGAACCCACCGGCCCGATTGAATGGCAAATGAATGGAAAACGGCGATAGCGATAGCGGGCGGCAAAATGAATGGGCGCGAAATTGTGAACTTGTAAAGAGCAGCGCCGACGTGTTGTGGGCGTTATTTATTTTAAAATGTTTTTTTTTTCTTTTTTTTTTCACGGGCGTGGTGTTGACGGTGATGTCCTTTACGGGGCCGTCAATATTTGCGCGCGAGCGCGACGACGACGCCGACGGGGCCCACCACAGCGCCGCCCGCGGGCCGCGCGCGGCACCAAAAGGCGTGAGCCGGGTGAGCGTACGCGGGCGTGTTTACCGAGGTGTTGCTCTAAAGGTGGCGCCCCACGGGGCGGGCCCGCGGCGGGCTGTAGTGATAAGGCATCGCGACACACACACACGCGCACTCACACACCACACCTACACATGCAAACACTCACACACGTACACACACTCACACACATACACACTCACACATATGACGGGCATTAAGTGCATGCGACACACACGACGTGGACGGTAACGCGTTTGCTAAACACATATGGTCCAACAACACAAAAATGGCCCAAATCAACGCGTATGGGTGTCCGTCACGTCACCCACCGTCACTTCTGCTACAGACTGCAGACTGACGTTTTTACATAGGACAGTCGAAGAAGTCCAAGCCAGCCTTGGGCGCGCGTGCTCCTGAAGCACCAAACGACACACTAAGTTTGAAATGCAAGATCATGTGTGTCAGTGGCGTGGCGTCAGCACATGCACGACCATCGCGGTGTTCGGCGTCGCATCACTCTACACGAAAGCACACACTACTACGAATCGGCGTGGTACTGACACTGGGAGTCGTTATCCAAGTAAGAGGGTGCGTTCCATGTCGCAGAGGGTCCTTTGCGTGCCGCTGACACTCGTGTCGTCACTCACGGACACCACCACCGCAGAGGGGGTGTATGGCACACAACACACACAGACACACACTAATTTTTTTCGAACTCGTCACTTTTCGACAATCGGCTCGTCACTCGATCGGGGTGCGCCGCCGCGGGGCCGGGACCGCCGCCGCGACCCGTGCGCGCGCGCCCATGGCTAGACCGGTACTGGATGGCGGAGCGGAGCGAGCGGCGCGCGGGGTAGCGCAGCAGCGCAGCTGAGCGCTGTGCAGCGCCGCCGGCCGGGCCCGCAACGCCGGCATTCCCCCTCCCTCCTCTTCCCTCCTGGCTCCGCTCCTGCGGCCGGTGATGTGGTGGTGGTGCATATCCCTGTAAACTAAGGCGCCGCGAATGAAGTCCATATTGTACAGTACGTCCATTTGCCACCCTCCGTCAACCCTTTCTCCGTTCGTGACTACAATCTGGTCACGGGCCCGTTTAACGCTGACCTGACCCACCGTTTGTTTACTACGGTGGTGACGGGACTTCCCTCGCTTCCTCTCAAAGAATAACATCGCGTCGGCCGTCAGTCTGAATCTTTCAGTGAAAAAAAAATCCCGCTTATAGTTTCACCTTTTTTTTGGATTGAACATTTATTTTATTTTTTTCTACTGAGACGACCGGATAATTTTAAAAGTGGGGTGTGGGGAACGGGCAACCTCAATGCCGTAACAAATGTCCAGTCAAAAGTCAACATTTCTTCAATACACAGTACAAATGTGACAAAATTAGTGCTCTTTACCCAGTGCCACTGCCCAATTCAGTGAGTGAACAGATATATTAAGGTAAGGGGAAATAAGAAAAAAACAAAATTCCTGGCTGACTTTACAAGTCATAGTATTTTGTAACAGAACAAGAAAACATTTCACAGTATTTAGTATCACAGCATTGGCACTACACTTTCACAGAAATTAACTAAGCAACAACACAAATGAACAATTTCATCAAAGAATACATGGTCATTTGTTAAAAGACTTATAGGTATAGTACTACCTAAAATTGTGTACTTCTGTCGAAGAGATCCAATTACTCTCTCAACATGTACACTGACATTTGCTATTTTACGTGTTCTCTCCACTTCAGATGGACTAATTTGTTGAAGATCTTTCTTGAAACCGGGGATTATCACCTTTGCATAGCAGGAGCTTACCATATCGTCAATTAAGAAGCCTCTGTCAGCTAATATATGGTCCCCTGGTTCCAAGTGCTCTAAAAATGTACTCTTTGCAGTGGCGAACTTGTCTGATGCCTTACCTTCAAAGCCTTCAGATATATAACAAATGAACCCTTGGGGAGTTATGCCAATGAGGTACTTCAAAGTTTGTTGATGCTTGTAATTAGAAAAAGTCTCACCTAATGCTTTAAGATTAGATGCCCTTTCAAAAAAAATTTCAAAACAGTTTATGATGACTGACACAGACTTTCCAAATGCTTTTTCAAAGGTCAGGGGCATATTAGATCTTAGCACCTCTCTATCTGGCCAAAAGACGCCCCTCTTAAGCCTACTGTACAGTATCCCTACAGTGGAGTTAAAGATCCGAGATGCTGTCTGTTCAGACACACAAAATCTATAGGCTAGATCTTTAAAGTAAAGATTCAGCCTTAACTTCATCATGGTCAAGAGGAACTGCTGGAATTTGGTAAGAGAGGAACGGTTTGTGACAGAAATATAATCACATACAAAATTAAAAATGAGAAGGAGGATTTTATAGCTTGGCAGTCCTGTGTAAAACAATACAGCATCATCATTCCCTTTAAAGAACTCTTCACGTAACTCAAGGCAGGAGACTTTTTTCTCAAGGCTTGCAATACTTTTGTCATGCTTGTCCATGTCAAGTGAAGTTATGTCGGTTTGAACTGAAACTGATCTCATTTTTTTTATTGTTTGTATTCCAACATCTCTCTTGTAGCTTAAAGTCTGAGTTCCAACAGTTTCACTTCCACAAACAGAGAAACAGTTAGAGTCAGTCACACGTTGATCCTCAACAATATCTATGTGTTCACTGTCATCCTCCTCTTCGTCAGGAGGGTTGGAATCCCCCTGAGTCACTCGGGGTCCAAGATAGTCATGATCTTCTGTCACAGCAGTCTGACAGGCCTCCTTGGTTTCATTTGAAGCTGCTGTAGAAAATTGTCGGTTCTCCATAGCTCCCACTGCGTCCATTGATATTTGACGGCTTACGATATGCTGGCTAGGTGCCCAGTCAGGATGATTAATCTCATGCACTGCAGATGGGCGGCCTGGAAAACAATCCAAACATGCGTGAGATGTACGAAAAATGCATAGCACAGCACAAATGCTGATTTATTTTTATTTATTTTTATTTAATAGAAACAGTGACAGGTTAGGTGTCGGGAGGCACAGGCGGCACGAACTACCGGCTATTAAACGAATAAACAAAGACAATAGCAACGCTACGTAATACATACCTTGTAAGAAATGATCCTCACACACCCACAGGTTCTTGCTCACTGTATTCGGAGATTGAGGACTCGGCAAAGCATTTCCAAAAATACGTGACAGCCACAACGCACGCCGCCTCTCCAGCCATTCCCGTCTCGGGTTTTTCCAGCGTGTGCGTGTACTAGCTTCCACGGGTACGCGAAAATAAGACTTTTTCGCATGATTCTTGGCTGCGCGACTTCGACAAGTGTAAATGCAGCAGTTCTTCACCATGGTATTCAAGCTTACAGTCTACGAAGTTTGTTTATGTTTATATTCTTATTCACGAATGCTGACAACCATTCAAAATCTGCCACTTTTCGCCACTCGCTGAGTCTGGCATATGACAGGGTTGGCGGACCCCTCCCGATAGATGGGTAGATGGAGGGTCCCGCCGCCCGCCACCGCTGCTGCTCTGAGCGCCAAAGTCCAAGCCAAAAGCTAAAGCTACCACTCAACAAGTCTCAAGTTTTATTTAATGGATGTGTTCGGCATTTATAAGAAAAGTCTATATTTGCTAAGGATATTTCAGGATCGGCGAATCTTCCAAATAAATACATAGGCACCGGTAGTAAAACAAAAACATCTGTATAGATGAGACTTTAAAAACCAAAAACACCACAAATTTATTTGTAAACATTTTTTTTTCAAGGAACATAGAACATTTTTGGAACGAAGTTAATTTAATTAACATAAAAGATGTACGAGATTTATATTTGTAATACTATTGCTTACCGTCATGAGCTTTAGTTCCGAAAGTTACGTGTCAGATTGTGCCTTTTAAATAATTAATTACTGCACCTCTGTTCTTCTCACCCATTGTGTGCAATGTGTAATATTTTGGAAAATGGTTTATTTAATGTATATATTTTCCGTTTCCCTGCTCTATCTTTTAAAAACATTGAAATTTTCCTCTCTATGTCCATGTTCAGGATCAAGTTTATGAGCTCTATGAGTCATATGACATTGCTTACCCTTTGCGACAAAGAAAAAAACTTCTTATAAGTAAAAGTTATCCGTTAAAAGTTAGAGTTATAGAATGTACCATGTATTGGTTCGACTCTTGACAGAGTTATTTTATTGATGTATGACAACAAGGAACGTAAAATGAAATGCCAAGCTGAATGAATATGTCTTGTTCAAAACTAAAAAATACTATTCTGAGCAATGAAAGTAGAGTTGCAAATTAGTTGCGCTATCATGTTATGAAAAGTGGTGAGTTAAATGCAACTAACCAGTAACTCGGGAGCAGATTTAGATATTTAAATCTTATACACAGTAGCACTTCTTGTATTTTATTTTTTCAAGACAAGCAAAGATCAGCATCAACACTTTTTGATTTTGATCTTCCCAGCCCATATTTATTTGGATTGGCAACAAATATACATTGTGCACAAATAATCCCTTGACATTGGAATATCCTTTGCAGTTGAAAACATTAAGCAAAAATGCCAAACAAATTCATGAAATAAAATTTGAGTGCTCGGTTAGCTGTATGTATTACGAGACTTGGAAGAGTGAGGAGGCCGCCAGGCCGCGCCGCAGCGGATCCTCCATCTACCCATCTATCGGGAGGGGTCCGCCAACCCTGTCATATGCCAGACTGCCACTCGCTCGCAAAGGAGTTGTTTCTGACCGAGGAAGGCGGTGCTAGGGCTAGGGTCACGTGACCATGTATGAGAAACTTATTCTTACGTAAGAAAAACTCAATGCCCAACACAACAACACAACAGCAACTAAGTATTTTTTTCCAGCATTCAATTACAGAGCATAGAAGCTTAATTTGAAATCTGAATCAGTTTCTACTGTAATCCCTACATAGTGTCCAAGTGTACCCGGCATATGATGTATAAGTTTCTTCTTGGGTTGGTAGAAGTGTGTCGTTGGTTCTGTTTTTGCTTTTGTTTATGTTGTTCGATTTGTTGTTGCGATTTCAAGCAAGCGGCTGCTGCAATCTCATCACATTGACGTTGTCAAACATCTCTTCTGCATTGAAAAGGAGGGAATTATTCCGGAACGATGCCGTACGCCAATCAACCCTCTGTGACGATAACGGATTTGACTGAAGAAAATGTCAAGTTCGTCTTGGAAGACACAGATCTAAGGTATTTTGGCCATTCCTAACCTGAAGTCCTCTTGTCAGTTTTGCCATTAATTTTGTTCGTTCAATCGTTTCAGCGTTGCAAACAGTTTGAGAAGAGTATTTATAGCAGAAACTCCAACAATGGCTATTGATTGGGTTCAACTCGAAGCCAATTCGACAGTTCTTAGTGATGAGTTTCTCTCACATCGCATTGGACTGATTCCGTTAACATCAGATGAAGTTGTTGATAGAATGCAGAACACCAGAGTAAGACTTTATTTTCTTTCTCTGTTACCAATCTCAAGCCTCAGAGCCTTCCAATTTCATTCTTTTTTTTTTGTTAATCTCCTACAGGATTGTAACTGCATCGATTTCTGTCCTGACTGTAGTGTGGAATTCACTTTGGATGTTAAATGTAATGATGATCAGACAAGGCATGTGACCACAGCAGATCTTGAATCAAATGACCAACGCGTTCGACCTGTTACTTCAAGGAACAGGGATGATGATACAAGTGAATATGGGGAAACTGATGGTTAGTTATTCTTTAAAATAACTGTAGGTACACTTTAAATGCAAATTATGATAAGATGCTAACATTTTATTCCCAATTTATTTACTTTCAGATATATTGATTGTGAAGCTCCGTAAAGGTCAAGAATTAAAGTTGAGAGCATACGCTAAAAAAGGGTTTGGTAAAGAGCATGCTAAATGGAACCCAACTGCTGGAGTGTGCTTTGAGTATGATCCTGACAATATTATGAGACACACTTTATTTCCCAAGCCAGACGAATGGCCAAAAAGTGAACACACTGAACTTGAAGAGGATCAATGTAAGAAAATTGTTAAAGTGTATTACATGAAAAATCAATTGAGTTTCAAAAGTGAAGTGCTAAATTTGTCATTGTTTTTTATTTTAGATGAGGCTCAATTTAATTGGGAAGCTAAGCCGAACAAGTTTTTCTACAATGTTGAAAGTTGTGGATCACTAAAGCCTGAAAACATAGTTACTATGGGAGTAGCTGTTTTGAAGAATAAGCTCTCCAACCTTCAGACGCAGCTGGCTCATGAAGTACATGAACCTCTTGCAATCCAGTGATTTAGTTATTTGCCCAAGCCTGATACCGACAGGTAGATTTTAGACAGGATCTACCAACAGTCAAGCCCAGCATTGTTTTTCATTCAAAAAATGTATCCTATGTAATGTGTCATAAGAGATATTGAAATTAAACACAGTATACTGATCAACAACTTTCTTATATTATTCTTCTGTTTAACCCCAGTTTATGTAACAGAAAAAAATCCCAAAGTATAAATTAACAATGAATGCAAGTAGAACTGAAGCATAGTATAGTACAGTTTTGTAAAATTATAAAATTAAAATGTGTTGGTTGAAAAATGATACAATTAACAAAGACACAAATTTAAGCTTTCTTACTATCTGTGAGAACTCGCACTATACTTCCAATACCACCAACTGAATAAGCTCGCTCATGCCATAATAAAAGATGACCACTGCTGCCCTCAGATGGAGTTTCAAACCCACGGTAAATGTATTTCATCAGCACATCAACAAGGTCTCGATCTAATGCACTGACTGCTTCTTCTACCTGGGATCCTTTAATGTACAGGAGCACTTTCATGGTAAGATTAAAGGCATTATCCTGAAATGAGATAAAACATGTTTATTCCCCTTGTGAATTCCTTCAGATACAGAGACAACGTGTTATGGCATTGACTGCCAACACCCACCTTCACTTGAGGATTTTTAGAAGCAAGTGGAGCATTCCTTAGGACTGTCTTAAGGGCATCAATAGTTTTTCCTGTAATAAACTGTTAAGGAAAACAACAAAATTTGGCAGTAATCAAAATAAGCAAAGATAAAGCTCAAAAATGATAAAAGCATGCTACAAAATATATTATTTTTGGATGACGTGTGCATGAATACAGAAAGTACAGCAAGATAGGAAAATATCGGTTTTGAAATGTGTTGTGTATTATCAGACTTATTATTAAATTTTGCTCTCTTAAAGGATATTGATTCAGAAGGGAAGTAACTTCTGATTCATCGGGTCCAACTGGTGGTGATTGGAGTTCACCCTGATCTTCATCTCCAAAGTTATCTTCATTGTACTGATCCACGTCAATTTTTCGGAAAGCTGAGCTTGACGTATTGATTGACATTTTATGTGTTTGGTAAAAAAATATAAACGAACTGACACTTATTTAAAAGGTTAGAAACAACACCCTCTTTTTATCTGCGCCTTCTGTAAAGTAAACAAACCGAACGCCAACCACTTCCTTAGTCAAATGAGAAAAGTTAAATTTGGTATCGTTGTTCAATTTGAAATAGACCTTTGTAAAATTTCACCGCTTATAAAGTTAAGTGGAGTTTTGTTTTAAAATAAAAGTACAACGGTAAGTAGTTCATCTTGATCAAAGAAATTACGTTTCGAAAATACTCTGGTTGTCTAGTGTAGTTACACCTCAAACTCTACAAGCCGGCAGCATTTCCTGTTCCGTTCTTCACACCGCAAACATGGTAAGAGGCAGTGGAAAGAATATTTCGTAATATTTATCGGTTTTAATCGTTCGTGCCTGTGGACTTTAGTGAAGTTTTAATTTTTTTCTTGAAAAATTTTGGCCTTTTTGAGAATATTATCTGGTGCACGGGGCGTCCCGACTTAAGTTTAATTATCATCAAGTGTTCCACCGTAGCCTCCTCATCGCAATGGTCAGAAGTTGCGTGGCAAATGCCGTCGTTTATTGATTTCCTATTGTTACTTGAGATTCAAATTCCTGTTTGTCAAACATTTGTCGTTTTCTCGATTCATTCTCTCATATTTCTGGCAATCCTTGTGGGGATTTTACTGTTCTTGACGTACTCGGCTACGGTGATCATAACCTCTCCTTCAGCATTGCATTGTTTATGTGCACGCTGAATTCCATTATATTTCTCCCAGTCTCCTTCACGTTACGAAATTTGTGGTCTCTTTGTTGGCCGATCCAAGCTCAGCCATTGCCACTGTGACCTTGTTGTAACTTTGGCGTTGTTTTGTTTCAGGGTAAGATCAAGTGCTCCGAGCTCCGCACTAAGGACAAGAAGGAGTTGACGAAGCAGCTCGAGGAGCTTAAATATGAGCTCAATAACCTCAGAGTGGCGAAAGTCACTGGTGGAGCTGCTTCCAAGCTTTCCAAAATGTAAGTGTTTTTTACCATTGGATAGTTGCTTCTATCAAATCAGTACTGTTTCATGTGGTTGTCATAGATTTGGCATGCACTTTAACTTTGTTTTATTCCTTGTGTTCTGAAGTGTGGCTAATTTGGTTTTGTTCTTTCTTGCAGCCGTGTAGTACGTAAGGCTATTGCCCGTGTTTACATTGTCATGCACCAGAAGCAAAAGGAGAACCTTAGGAAGTTCTATAAGGTAATTATCACTCAAGCCGTATGTTTTATTACCTTGCTAGAAGCCTGGTCATGACACGTTACTTGTGTATGTTGCAGAACAAGAAGTACAAGCCCCTCGACCTGAGGCCCAAGAAAACCCGCGCTATCCGTCGTGCACTTACCAAGCACGAAAGCAAGCTCCTTACACAGAAGGAAATCCGCAAGAGGTCAGCTTTCCCCCCACGAGTATTTGCTGTGAAGGCTTGAGTTGATCTTTGGTGTTAATAAAAAAAATCATAAAATACAATTTTGGTATCTTTTTTATTATGAAAGACATGACAATGGTCGAATGGTGTTTACAATACTTTTTATTAGACTATATCACATGTTTTGTCAGTAACTTCCCTCATACGATTACTATTATTCTCATTACTCAAATGCTTAAATTTTAATCCACGATTTGAAACAGTGTCAGTGGGTGATACCTCTGTCTTGGTGGAATCATCACTTGAGTACTCAACTTGACAGTTAAAACCATTAGCTTCTTCTTCAAATGATTCTGACGTGTTTGAAGCAGAGAGATCAGTATTTATTCCCACTTGGTTTAGAGAATCATCTATAACAAAATCCAAGCCACGATTTATATTTGTTGAACTGTGCCATTATGTTTGCACACATCCTTGACAGATAAGTTTGTTTCTGCACCTGATGTTTCCTGATTCAAAGGTCTTGTTGCTATCATGTAGACTGGATAAAGACCATGTGGAAAATTCTCTTGGCGTTTCTGCTTTACACATCTCAAACCAGCCTCTTGCAAAAGTCTGCATAAATGATCTAGTGGCCGTGTGACTGAAGAGTCTGTAGAGTCTTCATCCAACTCAGTAGATGTAGTTGCATTTTCTTTAATTACTATAATACCATTTTCTTTAATACCCCGACTGAAAGAAAAGAAAATACTCAGATAAAATACAGTAGCACAACTGGCCCATATTTGCTCAAGTTAGGCAAGAACATTGGCAAGGAAAAACTTACATGCAGCGTTGAAGGAATTGGATAAGATCATCATCTTTTAAATGGCCCAAAACCCACTGGCACCATATAACATCATAAGTATCAGCCTCTGGTTCAAAACTCTGCAACCCTGTAACAAGTTCAATTATAACAGTCAAAATGTCTTGCAATAAATTCTATTTCTGCATCAAAATGTCAAACCAACCTGAGCAATAAAAGTTGCCCATATGACTATGAGCTTCTAAGGCAGTCCTAGCTTGAGCAACAAATGCTGGATCTTGTTCTACTAGGTCAACTTTTTTAAAATGGTTAAAAAGAAGATTTTTTGTGATGCGTCCAATACCTGCTCCACAATCTATGGCCCGTTCTTTACCAGGGGCAACTTTAAGCTAAGAAAAAATAATACATACATTATTTTTAAAAGTAATAATTTTAACAGTTTAAGTCATACTTCTGTCAACCAACCCTAAACAGTTGTCTCAGAAACTGGGTTGAACCTTTGATGTCAACAGTAGAAATATGACCATAACCACCAAGCATTCCATCAACAGTGGCAGGTATTTGAGACCAATAGTCAGCAGCATCTTTGTAAAAAGCTCCTCTCTCCTTGTTTTCTACAAGTCCCCGTGGTGGGTGATCCGATTCATTCTCCATCTGTGGTCCAAATACAGCAAAACAAATTACAGACAAGGTAGATAACTGAAAATCAAGAAAGCAGTAAAATGTAATGTATGGATTTTTCCTGGTTTCATTCCCAAATTATTTTGTTTTTTCTTTGTAAATTAAAAGAACGAACGCTAAATGTAAACAAAACTTATATGTCTACGTTTTCAGAATAGGTTACGGATTCAATATTGTCAGTACTTTTAATTTATAGAGAAAAGACGACATGATTCGTTTGGAACAATCTGGTGCAGAGTTGTTTGGTCAACCAAGCATGTAATAAGAGTTTAATTTAAAAAAGATAAAAACTGTCAGAATCATGAAGGGTAGCTGCTTGATTTTGTGGGAAAAAGTTCAGTTAGACTACAGACCATACCTCTAAATTACTTAGAATGAAGTTCCAGAAGATCCACACTACAGCATAGGATCACAACTGCGTCCAAACACATTAAGCAAACGATTCAATATAAATATTTTCAACTCACATCCAATGTGTTGTGATGTGTTGCAGACGAGCATGGGCGCATGGGCAGGGGGAAGGGGAAGGGAGTTTTAAGATCTCAGGAAACGGTAGCAACCCGCCAAAACTCTTGTATTTTTCAATTTTCTGCAAATACTTTTCAAAACTAAGTGAAAAATGACAGAAGATATTGTTAAGAATTGCAAGATAACCCTTCGATAAATAATCTGAAAACCAATAAATAAAGAAAAGAAAACAGTTGTGGGTTAGTGCATCTCTCAGTCGAGTTTCCATGGTCGGTGCATGTTGTTCTTGTTGCTGTTGTTGTTTGTTGTTGAACATTATTCCAACATGGCAGACACCAGCAAAGCAGAAAGATTAGCGGCTGCTCGAAAAAAGGTAAGAAAAAATAATGTTAAAGTGAAGGAAATCTAATTTTTGAGTAAGGAACTCACGAACAAATTATTTGTCCTAATTACGATGTCTGACACTTGAAAACGGCAGACACCGCTAATTGGACACGTCAGCTGTCAATCCAGCTCATTTGCAAAGTGAAAGTTTCTTAAACAAAAAATATTGCGATTGCGGCCTCTTTTCCTTTTACATCGTTTACAGCTGCTTGTACTATGTAATAAACTAGGTTCTGGGTTGTTATGTCAGTACACTAGATTTGATATCAGGTTATGCTGACTTTGTCAGCATTTTTCCCACCTACTAATGTAACAGATTATCGTCTCAAAACGTCAAAATGATGCATTATTTCTGAAATATTGACGTTCTGGGGCTTTGCAACACATCAGACTGATACAACATTTTGTCATTATAACATTTTGGGACAAACCTCTGTTACTAGGGTATCATTACATTATATTTTTCCATTCATTGAAATACTAATATTGGCATAATGATTTTTACCTTTTAGCTGCAAGACTTTCAACGTAAGAAAGATATTCTCCCAGTACCCAACAACAATCCTCCACCAGCTGCCCCGGTTCTTGAGAGTTATGGGGTGTCAACATCAGAACAAAACCCAAAGGTATATTCATTTTTTACTCGATTTTTCAACATTACAAGATGGTTAAGATTTGGTCACTCACTGTTTTACTTTCAATTTTCAGTTAAATTTTGAGGAAACCACAGTTCCAAATGTAAATTTGTTTGGTCCCACAAGCACTCCTCAAGTGCCTATTGGAATACCTGAACATGTTCCAAGCTACATCCCTGGGGAAGAAATGGTTAGCAGTGGAAACCCTCAAGCCACAAATGGGTTTCAATTTTCCAGTTCAGGAATGGAGTACTCTCATTCAAATCCATATACGAGTGTACCCGCACCTATTTCATCACTACATGAAACTCCCACAGTCTTCTGTGGGAATTCATACTTCAATAATGGAAACAGTGCTAGCTCTGAACTGTTTGGTACTGCTGGTACCAATGTCAATAACTACGACTATTCGCAGCAAGGTTCTTTTCCACCTCTACAAGGTGCTAGTGCTAGTGCATACTCAACAGCTCATCTGTTTGCCCAGACCAATGATGCAATGGCCAAGTGGGATTTGAATCCCCCTCCTACATCAAGTCCTCCAGACTTGACCGACACACCTGTGTCTATTCCAACCCCTCATAGTGAAATTACTGAGGGTGAAATGCCATTGTTTACTAAAGAAGAAATTTCTCTGGATGAGGTCCCTCTCATGCCTCTACCACAAACTGAGCAGAAAGAGCCATCTGAAAATGGATCTGCATTAATCCTTGATGATGGTGTGCCCCAAGAAAATACAGAACCAACAATACCTGTAAATGGAAGCTTTAGTGCAGAAAGTATACGGCAACTTTCTGATCAGATTACCCAACTCATTGACCCTTCTGTGAAGGAAGATGAAAAACAAAACTCTTCATTTGCCACTCTCCTGGAATCTCGTAATCAGGAGCTAGCAGCACAGCTTGCAGTTGAACGCCGTAATAATCAGCAGCTTCAGTTTACACTGAAAGAAAGTGTATGTATGCTTTTTCTATCCAGCTCTTTTTTTAAATTTGTTTATTTTTTTTTAATATTTTT